CCATGACTCCCCTGAGCAGTATTATCCACCTCAGAACCCTCAATACTCTGTCGCTCCACATCAGTATGTTGTCCAGCCACCAAAACACCCCAGGCGAGCACGAGCATCACAAAATCTCTACCAGCTTCCACAAAATTTTCAGGTACCCTATAACCCACATCTAGGCCAGAGGTATAGAGGGGAACAAAAGTTGAAAGATAATTTTACACCAATAGCAGAGTCCTATGCAAGCTTGTTTGAGAAATTAAAGCATTATGACATGATTGCACCTATTCCTCCAAATCATGTGGACCCACGTGCAAGAAGCTTTGACCCTTCTAAAAGGTGTGAATACCATTCCAATGCCTAGGGGCACAATGTTGAAAGTTGTCGGGATTTGAAAAGAGAAATAGAAAGGATGATCCAGGAAAAACTGATTGTGATCCAAGATAGTGGCGCCCAGAGTATCGTGCAGAATCCTTTACCTGCACATGATGATGCACACTTTGTGGGGATGATGCGTGGTAACATGGAGTATGAGAATCCTCTCGGGAATTTGCTAACTGAAGTTAATGATTTTGAAATTGGAGAAGGCTCTGCTGATCCTGATGAGCAAATTTGTGGCTAAATGTCAAGCTTAGCAATTGTAAAGTCATTCCCTCCTTACTATGAAGGAATCTTGGTAGTTTGTTTTGATGTTTTTTCTATTATCTGGGTTATTTCAGGGTTGTGATCCAGATTTTATTTGTTTTATTGAGTCAAGCCCTTCTATCCCTCCATTTCGTTTGTGTGAGTCTTGTCTTTCTGTTCTTTTGCTATTTTCATTAGCCGGGTTATTTAGGGTTGTAACTCGGATTTTAGGTTGTTTGTCTTGTTGTTTACTCAATGAAATACAATTTTTCCTTTTGTGTCATTCCATGTTTAGTTCTTTTCCCGCTAGTTTCAATGGCATGACATGCATGCGGAATTTTTGTCCAGATCTTAGAAAATTGATTTAAGTTTGAATTGGACAACTGAGGAAAAGGCATTTTTAGGATGAATAAAGAGTTGAAATACTTTGGAATTAAGGTCGAGTAAAGTTCACCTTCAAATCATTGTGAAGATCGGGCTTGAGGATGTTTAATCAATTGAAGTTTGTTGGAAAGTTTGTCACTAAGGTATGAAGAAATGTCTTGTGACCACGACACACCAAGAAGACAGTCATGTTCATCAATGCCGTGATTGCGAAAGGATACTATGTTTAGCGTTCTCAAGACTGGGAGGCCTTTTTTCTGCTACCCAAACACTTTATACCCTTTTGTCACCCCTTTTGAGCCTGTGTTATTTTCTTTGACTACCCTCTTTTGGAATCAATTTTAGAGTCAAACAAAAAGAAGAGAAAAAAGAAAAAAAAGTCAATGCCCCAAGAGTACAAACTGGGGCAGTTCTTTGAAAGTTCAAGTGAAAAAAAAAAGAAAAAAAAAAGAATTGTCAAAGGTCCATGCCCTAAAAAATAGAAGCTGAGGCAAACAAAAAAAAGGAGAAAAAAGCAGAAAAGAAAAAAAAGGGAAAAAGAAACAAAAAGAATGAAAAATAGTTTAGGTCAGATGTTGGAAATACGTTCGACCTGATTCCTTTTAAGGATACGTAGGCAGCCTCACGGTTCAGTCCAGCCAAAAAAAGAATTCAAAAAAAAAAAAAGATCCAAAAAAATCCCCATTAGCTGAAACTGGGGCGGAGATTTTATTTCACTTTTGAAAGAGTCGATTCCAAGAGTTGTAAGTCCACAATCCCTCATTTTGAGTTTATTTGGAGCCTTCATGCCGACCTTTCTTTCTAACCCTATCCAAAAAACCGTCCAAATAAAGACCTCCCGATATGCCTTCAAGAATGCCAAGAGAAGTATGAAATGAGCAACGGTTGTCACACGACATATAACATTTCAAGTTACTCACAAAAAGTAAGAAAAAGAAAAGAAAAAGAAAAAGAAAAATGAGAGAGTCTTACTAGTGAAAACTCTCACGGGTACTGTAAGGCGACGATAAGCAGAAATTAATAAATGAGAGAGACTTGGTGGTGAAAACTCCTCGAGGCACCACTAGTCGAAGGTGAGTCTCGAAGCTGATACAAAGGATTGGTACGAACAAGCTCGACCTCAAAGGTCATAAGAATGGTAAAAGGGAATATTGGATTAGTTTGATAGATCAGGCCATTGAGTCCAAAATGCATGTCATGATCATTAAGGCTAGTTATATAAAAAGAAAAAAGAAAAAAAAACTCTTCCTTCTGTCCTTCCGACAGGGGGCATTTCTTATTAATACTTGTTTTTGCATCATTGTGTCCTCTACTCCGAGTCAGTCCTTGTCAAAACAAGCAAGAAAAGATTTCAAAACCTGCTACCAGCTTTTCAGTTGCACAAAGTGAATTTGGCCAGCACACTCAGTAGTTACTGTCAATATACCTTGAGGATTCATGCAAAGGCTTCCCCAAAGAGACTCTTGTCAGCCTATTTGGTGTAAGCAAAGATAACTTGTGATTCTCCCTGACAGACAAATTGCTCAAAAGCAGGAAGTCATTCAAGATATCAGAAAAGGTCATCTAAGAAAAGATCTCTAGTTGGGATAAGGTTGTTTGAGCTGCAAATACAAATGGTACTGGTGTGAAACAATCTGAGTTGGTGTAGAACAAAAGTCTTTTGAGGCCGACTCAAACTGATTGAGCAGAAGCCAAGCTGCCCAAGACTCAAGGCCATAAACCGACCACCATTTTCAAAACTGATGAATTTTTTTTTGTATGAAACAGGAACAAAGCAGTGCAAGGAAAGTGATTCAAAAAGAGAAAAAATGAAAAACAAAAAAAAACAAAAAAAAAACAAAAAAAGGAGAAGAAAAGGGAAGACGAGAGGAGCCGACAAAAGGAAGTTTCTCAAATCTTTGCCTTTATTTGTCTTGCTATTGTGCATCAAAATCTTAATATGATGAATCTTTCTCCTAAGATACCAAAAAAAAGAGACCCAGTTTGATGAATTTTCTCCTAAGATCAAAATCTTAGTCTGATGAATCTTTCTCCTAAGATACCAAAAAAAAGACCTAGTCTGATGAATTTTCTCCTAGGATCAAAATCTTAGTCTGATGAATCTTTCTCCTAAGATACCAAAAAAAGAGACCTAGTCTGATGAACTTTCTCCTAGGATCAAAATCTTAGTCTGATGAATCTTTCTCCTAAGATACCAAAAAAAAATGACCTAGTCTGATGAATTTTCTCCTAGTATACAAAATCTTAGTCTGATGAATCTTTCTCCTAAGATATGAAAACCTAGTCTGATGAACTTTCTCCTAGGATAAACGTCTTAGTCGGATGAATCTTTCTCCTAAGATACCAAAATAAAAAATAAAAAAAGGACCTAGTCTGATGAATTTTCTCCTAGGATTAACGTCTTAGTCTGATGAATCTTTCTCCTAAGATAGAAAACCTAGTCTGACGAATTTTCTCCTAGGATATTTTTTAAAAAAAAGAAGAAGTTTGGATTTGAAAAAAGGTCAATTTTTAGTTTTGTTAAGTTATCAATGTTTAGTTTTCTTGAAATCAGGGGCCCCGCCTGGAGAATAGGGTCAGTCTTTACTTTAGTCAAGCTTAGTTTATAGTTTTCCTAGTCTATTCTTTAGTTTACTCTCATCATTGCATTAATAGTACAAGTGGTTTACAATTTTGCTAACAACTCACAAATTTTCCTAGTGCAAACTAGGACAGAAAAATTTCTTTTGTTTTGTTTGTTTTGTTGTAATCAGATGCCCACCTGGAGAACAAGGGAAGACAACTCAAGTTTCAAGGGAAAGCAGTTTCGAAGGAAGATAGTTCAGGTTTCAAGGGAAAATGGTTCAAGGGTGCAAGGGAAAACAGTGTCAAGCAACAAGAAAAGACGGTTCAAGTTCAGCAATCAGGCGCCCGCCTGGAAAACAAGGGAAGTTATTTCAGAATTCAACTCAAGTTAGAAGTAGCAGAAGCTCGCGGCAAGAATGCGAGTCAACAATCCAAGATGATCAACAGAAGTTAGTCACAATCCAAAATAATAAAAAAAAAAAACAAAAAGAAAGACAAGAAGTGAATCCGAATGCAGAAGTTAATAAAAGATGTGAGCTGCTCAAGACAGGGCTGAGGTCACAAGCTCTGCATGTCCCGTTTTGGTCTGAAAAGTTGAAGAAGAACGAACTAGCACCTGCAACTAGCAAGCATCAAGATTCAAATCCAAAGTCTGTATGAAGAACCATTCAAAACTCAAGATCAAGCTTCAGAAGACTTATAGATAGAAATCTTGTAACTCTTAGTTGGTACGCTTAGCTAGTCCTTTCCATTTCTTGATTTTTTTTATGTAATAACGGGACTGCGGACCGGAACCTCGGCGGAATGGCACCTCAATCGTCTCTTCACCTCGGCATACTCCATCATCTCACCCACCTCTGAACTACACGTGACCTGATTCCTTTATAGCCAAGGATATGTAGGCAGCTCAAATGCCAGAGCTCGGTCACATTCCCCTCTCTTTTTGTTTAGTCTCTCCAAATAAGGGCCGGTTCAAAAAACCTGTCTAGTCGTTCTTTGTCTGAAAATACTTCGTCTTTCTAGTCAAAGAGGGGCAGCTGTAGACATGTGATTTTTGACCCTTCCCAAGATTTTTCATATTTTAGCACGTAAATATTTAATTTAGGCCTAATATAGCTATTTCAACTAATTTTGACTTTTTTTACTTTATTTCTTCACAAAAATGAAAATTACAAAAATATTTTAGTTTACGCATCTTTCATAAATTTAAATAAAAAATATACAAAAATAGTAGCTTATTTTTATTTTTATATATAATCTTGAAAATACAAAAATATCCTCATATTTTAATATAGTTTAGTTCAATTAATTAAAATTAATTTTATATTTTTTTTATTATAATTGTATATAATTTTAGAAGGAAGAATTAGTTTTGGGTTGGTTTACCCCGTCTTTATGAATCTTGTAGTCTATGTTTTTAGCCTTTGGCCCAATACTCTTGCCTATAATTTCCAAACCCATAACTCCTAGGCCCATACCCCTAACCTAATCTCTACCCCTATATAATAGGACCTACACCTAAATATACACACGCCTAAAAACCTTACGGAATCCGCCGTTCAGCAAAAAAGATCCCAACCCCTGGATTTTTGTCTTCCTCGCACCCCATCCCCAATTCTCTGAAGAACAAAAACCTCTCCTCTTTGCATATCAAGAGATCCCCTCACCCCCTATAATTTCCCTTAAGCTTCAACGACGGAGACTTCTGATCTTCATCCTCACATTCTACGAGAAATCAGCCGCAACACACACACAAAGCCATCGTTGTCTCCTTCATTAGAGCAGCTTGAAAACTCTATCTTCACAGCCATGTAGAAGCTCCAAGACCTCACCTAAAATCAGCCCCAAAACTCCATGAAAACACTATAAAAATAAAAATAAATACCTAACTCAAATTCTGCCCAAAACATCGCACAAATACTGCAGCTCCAAGGTTGAGTTCGAGTCCGCTGGCGAGTTTAGGTTCGAGCGAGCTTCGGTCTTGGTTCGTGAGTCCCGAACAAGTTTTGTTGATATGATTGATGTAGAAACTTTGTACTGATTTGAACATAGGGAAATAGATTGGTTGTTTATCTCCCCTGTCACAATTGCTGGTAATTCTTTTTCCATTCTTATGCTTTTGCTAACTTGTAATTAGGCCTATATTATCCTTTTATTTTGTGTTGTTATGCTTTTTTTTATATTTTTCTTGAAATGGGTATTTACTGATTCTAAAATTGCCTTTGAAATTGAGTTGTAGAGATGAATTTGGGTAAAGGGAAATTAAAAGATTGTATCTCTTTAAGTAATCATTTTGGGTGCTGTTGATTTGGGTTCTTTGATAGATAGTTAAGAATGAAATTTTTTAAGTATGATGATAGTTCAATTTGAAAGAGGATAGCTTTCTGTAATGGCATTTAGCATCTTCATTATGGCTAAAAGGTGCAACTTTTTGGATATAGTGCTTATAAGAAAGAATTACAGAATGCAATAAAAGTTGGAACTTTTTATGCACCTGTTTTATGGTTGGTAGATCTTGTTATCTGGTTGGGTTGTTACAACTGAAATAGTTAATTGGGGAAACAAGCCAGTAGCTTTATAGTTTTGACAATCTAGGTGTTTTTGGTTAGATGTAGTTTGGAGGACTGCTTATGATTTAGAGGTAGCTTAATTACTTAAATTTTTGCAGGGAGAACTTGGGTAAGAAGTGAAAAGGAGTAGATATTTCAGTTACTTGTTAAAAAGATGTGAGTCCATTCACAGTAGTCAGGTCACATTTATCGCTTGAGGATTACTCGCGAAGGAAAAAGAAATCTAAGGAAATTGTCATTGAAAATGCTAACTGTTGTAGGAAGAGTGTAATCATAGGAGTAGTCACTGCCCCGCCTTGTGGGAGTGCACGTTCATGGTCACCTGAACGAGGTCTTAAAAGAAAAATAGGTTGCCTTGATTCAGCCATTCGTAGCTTTCTTTAGGCACAACTTAATCTATTATCGTGATTGTGTACACGTTCGCGTAGTATTATTATGGTCCTAATAAATAAATCGAGGTATGCGTTCGCGCAACTTTGACCAAACTTTCTTAATAAATAAACAAAGCGTTATTAATTATGGACACGTTCGTGTGACATGATTTATGACGCGCCAAAGGAAAAGAGTATACGTACGCGTAACTCAATTCTTTAATTACGAATAATCAAGTGATTTAAAAACGGTTAATAGATAAATGCACATAGGTCCTAAAAATGAATATTTAAATAATTTAAGCCAAGTATAAATTGCTAAGCGACCGTGCTAGAACCACGGAACTCGGGAGTGGCTAACACCTTCTCCCGGGTTAACAGAATTCCTTACCCGGATTTCTGTATTCGCATACCGTAATTAGAGTCAATTTCCTCGATTCGGAATTTTAACCGGTGACTTGGAATACCATAAATTATTCCAAGTGGCGACTCTGATTTTAATAAATAATCCCGTTTCAATTGTCATTTAAATTGGAAAAAACTCTCTTATACCCTTTGTGGGGTGTAGGTAAAAAGGAGGTGTGACACAGGTGGGCCCCTCAGTAAGGCGAATGGTGGCCTGTCTGCGGCGGGTGTGCTTGAAAATGAAGGAGCCTCTCACCTTGGATCATATGTTAAATCTCTACTCCCCCAAAATCTTCCGTGGGGGAGTAATAAATTTCAGCAAGCGTGACCACCATGCTTTGCTTACCGGTATTGATGATGACAATAACCATAGATGGATGGAACGGTTTGTCGTCATTGCCACCAGGGATATCACCTCGGCCACAGCTCCATCTTTCCCCGAATCCTGGACTCGTTCACGTAAGCTTAAAGTTTAAAGCTTATTTCTTTTCTAGAAAATATGCTGCTTTATGTCATTGCTAACCCTTCTTCATTCATTATTTTCAGCAACTCGGTGGACACCACCAAGGATTGAAGGCCTTGATTGGTGGGTCCAGTAGATTCTGGACATCACTATGCCAGAGACCTGTCGGTAGAAGGAATTGGCCCCCAAATACGGGTGGAAGGCCAAGAATCACGGTAAACAAACTCTCCCTTTACTCCATCTTTGTACGTGAGTAAATTTACTAACCTTACCTCCTTGTTTGATTCATGTCTCTCGTATAGTTCTATTTTTGTCCTTAAGAAGGATATTTTGGTCGATCCTGCAGAGGTTGCGAGGTTGTTGAAGGAGGCTCTCACCCGAACTGGTTCTCTTGGGTTTGCTTCCGATGCAGGTGCTTCATCTCAGAGTCCCCGGTCGGAGAACAAGCAACCAAAAATATCTTTGGGGTTCTAAGCTCTTCAGATTGAGCATTTTGTTGAGCTGATGAAAAACGTTATCTCCTTTGTAGGGAAACCCCTTCATCACTGACTTCCCCATCATCGTCAATAACCACAGTGGTTGCGGTTGGCCGAGGGCAAAAATAGGAAAGTGAAGAAATCCATGCCCAAGCCACCCACAACCACTGTGGTTATTGACGATTATGTAGAAGCTAGTGATGAAAGGGCTTCCCTACAAAGGAGACAATGACCTTCATCAGCCCAACAGAATGCTCAATCTGAAGAGATTAGAACCCCAAACATATTTTTGGTTGCTTGTTCTCCGACCGGGGACTCCGAGATGAAGCACTTACTTCTGGTGCAACTGCTCATATATCTACTACATTACAGGGATTCCTTACGATCCAAACAACAAATCCAAATAAGGATTTCTTGTTCAAGGGAAAGGCTCCAATTGAAGGTATAGGGACTTATCGTTTGATCATGGAGACTGGACATCACCTTGATCTATTACAGACTCTTTATGTACCTTTATTTTCTAGGAATTTGATTTCTCTTTCAAGACTTGATGTTTCTGGATTTGATTTAAAGTTTGGAAATGGATGTTTCAATTTATATAAGAATGCTATTTTTTATGGTTCTGGTTTTCTTAGTGATGATTTATATAAATTGAAACTCGATATTGGTTTTTCTGAATCCCTTCTTACTGTTCAACATAATGTTGGAATTAAACATAGTTCACTAGATGAAAGTTTTGCTTACTTGTGGCATAGACGTTTGGGTCATATATCCAAAGAAAGGTTAGAAAGATTAGTAAAGAATGAGATTCTTCCGAACATAAATTTTACTTATCTTACTATATGTTTGGATTGCATTAGGGGAAAGCAAACCAAGCATAGTAAGAAAGGTGTCACAAGAAGCACCCAGCTTCTTGAAATTATACACACCGATATTTGTGGACCCTTTGATGTTCCATATTTTGGTGGAGAAAAATACTTTATAACTTTTATCGATTATTTTCACGTTATGGATACATCTATTTGCTAAAAGAAAAATCTCAAGCAACAGATGCTCTCAAAGTGTTTGTTAATGAGGTTGAAAGGCAATTAGATAAAAAGGTGAAAAGCATTAGGTCAGATAGAGGTGGTGAATGTTATGGAAAATATAATGAATCAGGACAATGTCCAGGTCCATTTTCAAAGTTCCTCGAGGAACGTAGCATATGTGCACAGTATACTATGCCAGAAACAGTTCAACAAAATGGTGTTACAGAAAGGCGTAATCGAACACTAATGGATATGGTTAGGAGAATGATAAGTAATTCCTCATTACCCAAATCATTGTGGATGTATGCTCATAAAATCGTTGTATATTTATTAAACAGGGTTCCTCGTAAGGCATTTTCAAAGTCCCTTTTTGAATTGTGGACAGGAAGGAAACCTAGTTTAAGGCACCTGCATGTTTTGGGTTGCCCAGTGGAAGCTAGAGTTTATAATCCACAAGAAAAAAAATTAGATTCTCGAACAGTAAGTGATTACTTTATTGGTTACCCAGAGAAATCTAAAGGGTATGTGTTTTATTGTCCAAACCATAGTTCGAGAATTGTTGAAACCGGTAATGCAAGATTCACTGAGAATGGTGAAGTTAGTGGGAGTGTTGAAAAATAAAGTGTGGCAATTAAAGAGGTGAATGTCAATATTCTATTACCCATGAATGTGCCTACTTCCACATAAATACCAAATATTATTCCAGTTGTTGAAGAACACTTTGACAACACCGAACAATATTTGGATGAAATACTTCATGAAGAAACTAACTCATAAATATCTGACACAAATGAATCACAAGAAATACCATTAAAAAAGTCTCAAAGAGTTAGAAAAATGGCTATTTCGGATGATTATGTGGTTTATTTGCAAGAGTCAGATTTTGACATTGGTCTTAATAAGGATCCGGTTTCATTTTCACAAGCCATAGAAAGTAATGAGTCTGACAAATGGATTGATGCCATAAAGGAAGAGTTAAAATTCATGGAATATAATAAAGTCTGGGATTTTGTTGAATTGCCGAAAGTTCTAAAAGAATCGGGTGTAGATGGGTCTTTAAGACCAAACACGATTCAAATGAAAATATTGAACAATACAAAGCCAGACTTGTTGCCAAGGGTTATACTCAGAAAGGAGGCATTGATTATAAAGAGACCTTTTCACCGATCTTAAAGAAAGACTCGTTAAGAATTATTATGGCTTTGGTGTCTCATTAAGATTTAGAGTTACACCAAATGGATGTGAAAACTGCTTTTCTTAATGGAGACCTCGAGGAGGAAGTTTATATGGACCAATCAAAGGGTTTCGAAACTAAAGGAAAAGATCAAATGGTGTGTAAACTGAAGAAATCAATATATGGACTTAAACAAGCCTCACGATAATGGTATATAAAGTTTAATGATACCATAACATTGTCACACCTCCTTTTTCCGCCCCCGCGAGGGGCGTAGGAGTTTTTTCCAATTAAAGGACAATCGAAACGGGATTTGTTTATTTATTTCAGAGTCGCCACTTGGGAGATTTAGGGTGTCCCAAGTCACCAATTTTTAATCCCGGATCGAGGAAAATAATGACTCCACATTGCAGTCTGCGTACCAGAAATCCGGATAAGGAATTCTGTTAACCCGGGAGAAGGTGTTAGGCATTCCCGAGTTCCGTGGTTCTAGCACGGTCGCTCAACTGTCATATTCGGCTTGATTATCTGATTTTATACAAATATGAACTTATGTGCAAATTTTAACTTTTTTACCGCTTTCATAACTATTATTATTTTTACAGGGAATTGCAACGTTGTAAAAATGTATCTCAAACCGCGTCACAATCAATGTACCCGTGGTCGTCGACACACTTTGACTCTGTTGAGATTTGGATTTGGGTCACATAAATGTGCACCCGAGTTTAAGAAAATTAAATTATTTAAGGCGCGCCTAAAGCGACTAGCGTATTATTATTTTGGGTAAGGCCGTGGAATTTCGTTAAACGGCCTGTCCCGAATTCTAAGTATTTAAAATATCCGTGTATTGAGGGCCCCACAATTTGTATTTTATTTGGCGAGGCTCGTCTCATTTTTATTAAAGGCAAACCTAAAAACAACTATGATTATCTACTTTATTCGCCTCTAAAAAATCCTAATTTATTCACTAAGATTATCTTAAAGTCATTATAATCGGGTTACATAAAATGTACCCCCGAATTTTAGGCATTGTAACCATGTCACGGGAACCGTACCCCTAATCACGATGATGATTTGACTACATGCCTAAAGTAAGCTACGAATGTTTATAACGACCGAAAATAATTAATAAAAATAACGATCAAGGCTCATTCGTTCATGAGAACTAACAGTTTCATAATTCATTCACAACCTAAATTCACGCTTCATCATTCAATCACAGAAGTTTAGAAGCATGCTAAGGGAAAAGCCCGAAACAGAGAATCAAAAGATGGAAATTTTACAACTAAAGCAATATCACGTATTCATTCGAGATTCAAGTATCACTCCGGCTAAAAATGTAATCACGCAAGAACAGAACAAAGAGAGAATAAAATTGGACCTCAAACTTGTAATGTTTTCGTTTTTTTTTTGAAATATGCTGAATAAAGAATTCAACACATAGTTCAACCATTAAAACCCAACTTAAACAAAATACAGTCAATGACCAACATTAGATTTATAGTAGGTTCCAAAACTCACGGAATCGTGTAATATATCTATGGATCAATAAAAAAGAGGGACAGAAACGGACCTTTCTTCGTCCTCAACGTAACAGACCTCGACGAACAACGACGACCTCAACGGAAACGAAAAACTTGAACCAAGATTGTCAACGACCTCGACGCTCACCTTCTCTCTCTCGACGACCTTGACGGGCTGTTGGTTGTTTGGGCGATGACTGACGTGAGGTTGAGCCAAAGGTTTGGTGGACTGGATGTGGAGATGGGGGAGGAGAACAACGTTTCTGTTGATGTCCGTTGCTGGTTTTTCCGGTGTGTTGCTGGTGAGTGACAGTAGGGTCAAGGGGGCAGCGACGATGAGGGCTGGGGTTATGGTCGCTGGACGTGAGGATGGTGAAGCAGCAGTGGTGGACTGCTGGTGGT